CAACCACTGTGGAAATCTGTGTGGAGTTTCCTCAGAAAACTAGGTTCAGAGGTTCCATTCAATCCAGCTATTCTCCTTCTAGATATTTTTCCAGAAGAATTGAAAACATCATTTCATAGAGAGATATGTGCACCCATGTTTATGGCAGCACAATGTGTGATAGTTAAACCTTGGAAACAACCCAAATGCCCATCAACTGAGAAATGGATAAAAAAGATGAGATATTTTATACAACAGAATACTACTCAGCTATAAAGAAGGATAAACTTGAGTCTTTCATAGGTAAATGGGTGAAACCTCAGACCATACTCCAATAAATCAGACTTGCATGTGTAAGTATTATATTGTTTCCATAGTGCAAAAAACTGAAAGAGTAAATAAGATCTAAAATGTATGATAGATATTGTGAAAGTGAAAGAGAAAGAAACTGCTCAAAAGGAAGGAACAACTGGGATAGGAGAAAAGAGAAAAGAAAGAAGGAAAAATATTATGCATGTATACACATATACAAGGTAGATGACCATGCTATTAATCTCTGTTAGTTCATCAGAAAGAATGGTTTGTGCTTTCTCTGTTTGATCGATCATTCTTTTCATGCCTATATTTTGTAATCCGAACAACTACTTTGAAGATAACATTACACACTATTTTAACTATTGTTCATCAATTATTTTGTTTTGAAATTCTGTCTCATTGTTTTTCTTCTTTTGCTATTTCAAAATAATGAGATATGCAAATCTGAAAAGAACTGGAAAGGTAGCACCTAGGAGACTGTCAGTGTAGAAAGCCACAGGCTTTTTGGTTTTGCATTTGGGCTTGCTAGAGTGGTGGCTCTCCGGGATTTCTCCCTTGTCACTTCAGCCAGATGACTCTGCTTCTACCCAATGCTGCACAAGACAAGGAGCCCTTTGAGGGTCGGAATTGAGTTTTCTTTACTCATCTTTCTCTCCCTCAAGGCAACTTGCTCAGTTTGTCTTCTCCTGTATTTTGTTACAGTACCAGGAAGCTGCATAATAATGAGTGGCATCATGTAGAAAACAGAAGACAGGTAATAACAGAAGTAAAGACTAGAGTGAGAGACTTGGAAAGTTTGATTAAAAGAATCTAAGAATTTGACGCTGCTAATGTTTGTGCTGATACACTGGGATTAGCTCAAATACCTGGCAAAATACTTTAATAGAAAAATAACTTTAATAGAGATCATCTTTAATAGCTAATGGGAAAAAAGGAATTGTTTGAATTTGTTTGTGTCCAGGTGGTAACAGGGTTGAGGTGAGATTAGCCTTCCAAGCCTGTTCTATGTGTTGCCCAAGAGGCAGATTTCCTATTGGTTGCACAGACCAAGCCATGCACTTGTTCTGTAGGTCTCTGCATCATGCTAGGGGTGGCTGCCTAGGGCAGGGAATGACCTATAACAGGTGATGCAAGAGAAGATACTGCATTTCACGCAGAAGTGAGGAAGGCCCTATGTGTTTCCCTCAGATGACTTTGAAAAAGTGCTTTTTTGTTGGGGACCCCAGACATAATAATTATGGCTTCAGCTGGATGCACACTGGTCCTGTGATAACTCTCCAACTCATAAAGTGAAGGCTTAGAGACTGTTATTCTGACCAGAACTGGGCTTTTATTGGCTGGACTTTTCTTTCTATCCTGTTAAACATCAAAAAACACAAGAACCTTGTGCTTTGTCACCCAGAGGCATCACTGACATGGCAAGGAAGGGTGCAGGTCTTGCTCTGTCTTATTTCAACCTGAAGTCCGTAGTGAGTCCTAAACTTTGGGCTTGACACTTGGGCAAACTAGGTTTTCTCCAGCTGAGCATCTGCTAAAGATCTAGATTATGTTCTGAACTCTGGAATGGTAATAGGATGCCAGATTTTCTGGAAAGAAAACCTACTCTGAGATGGTCTTGTCCATCAGAGGACGGAACAGAGCAAACTTCATTTTTCTCACCTATTTCATGCACTGTTTTGTAGATTTTAGGCATTTTACGGGTGATATAGGTGAGCCATAAAGATCTGTTTTACTTTCAATCTGATAAAGTTAGAGTTATAACTAAGTCTTTTGAGTTTCCCTTAATAAACCACTTAATTTTCTGAAAAACTGTACTTTTTCAGTCCCTCTTGACCTGTTTGTACTTTCAGCCTGTGCAGGTACTTGTATTACTCATTCATAGACTGTAGTGTGGAAGAACTGAGCGGTTTGGTTATAGAGTTAATCTAATGTTGACTTAGATTTGGAGGGTGGAATAATGTGGTGTTTATTTCCAGTCTAACTGGGACATTTGTAGCCTCGGTTATAGAGTCTGCTTAACTTTTGGGGCTGTTTGCAATTCCAGCCCCACTGCTTACCAGTTGTGCCATTCTGGTGAGCTACCTAAAACACTTGCCAGACTTAGTTTGGAATTTGGCAAAATGGTCAGCTCTTCCCTGGAGGAGGCTCCAACATACTTATGAAGTACTAAGTACAGTGCATTAGTGGAGAAAGCCCTCAATAAATGGTAGCTGTATCTATTCATTCAATCAGAAGAAACGTGTATTGGGTATCTGCTGGGTTCATGGCATGCTAAAGGTACAAAATGTTTCAAGACATTGGCCTCTGTCCATTAAGAAATTTACAAAGAATGTTGATGGAGATGGAGCTAAACACTTTTGTAATTCCAAAAGGAGGAAAAAATAAAAGGTTATGAAAGGGGGAAATATGGTAATCTTTGTGTTGGCTCTTGTAGGGTGTAAAGAATGTGGACACGAGGGCTGGAGATTTAGCTTAGTGACACAAGTGCCTGCTTCACAAGTGCAAGGTTGTGAGTTCAATCCCTGGTACAGAAAAAAAGACATGTGGACATGTAGAGTTGAGTGAGATCAAAGCAACCAACCTTCTAGAGGACAAAAAATCCTAAAAGAGCCATTGGACGGGAATGGTGAAGGTATGCCAATATCTAGGATAGTTCTCACTTATTATAAGAAACATATTAGACAAACGGGAGAAACAAGACTCTCCCTCCAAAAAATCTGAGGGAAAATCAGAATAGGAATATCTGCCATGTTAAAGGATTTCACCTTGGTTTGCTGGCCCATCAAAGACTTTGGGGAACTACATTTCCTGCATTTCTCTCCAGAGTTCTTTATTTATGACCTCTCAGGATTACTAACTAGCGTAGAGTGTTAGTATGGTTTAGCTGTGATACACTGTTCAGGAGCGGGGCAGCCTAGAAGATTAGAGGGAATTAGGATCTAACAAAGGCTATAGACAAATATAGACACCATTAAAACCCTCACCAGACTTAACTTGGGGCTTGGCAAGTCACCAACTCTCTTCTTTGAAGGATGCCTCAATCTTGAGCCTCTAGAAACTGATATTTAAGCAGTATCTGTATGACCTTTAGTTGTCGACGAGGTTTCATCTTGTTCCTTTTACTATGATATATCAGTGATATTGACCAGAATGATGGCTGTAATCACGAGGCCTGGCTGCATCCCTGATCTTCTTCCACCTACTTTATTACAATTATTTCTGCTTAAAGTATTTGGATGCAAAGGAGCCCTTCTGCTTTTGAGAAAATACAACCCTGCAGGTGAAAACAACGAGGAAGGGATTAGGCAGGCACAGTTTGTATCTTATTTGAAGCTTTGTAGTTAAAACTATTTTTAAATCTAGATGGATTGTAGTTCAGTGAATGTGCATTTAGGATGCTTGCAAGTACACATATTGATTGCCCTTGTGCCAATGTTGACTTAGATTTGGAGGGCGGAATAATGTGGTGTTTATTTCCAGTCTAACTGGGACATTTGTAGCCTCGGAGAACAAAGCACGTGGACTTAGCAGAGAAGGGACAAGGAAACTTCATCCTCCATTAAAAGGACAGGAAAGACCTCCAGGAGATGAGGTAGCTTCTAAAGAGGCAGGTCACAAAGCCCTCCTCCCTGGCTACCACTCTCTAGGGCCTAGGCGAATTTACATTTCAGTGACGACTTAAAGCCACTTAAGATTTTATTGAACTTTGAAGTTTTCCAAATGTTTATTATTTTTGTTATTTCAACAGACACCCTGCAATTACTTGCATTTTTTTAAACCCAAAAATCAAGGGAAGAGGACTGGAAGAGGGTCTAAGATTTGATGTTTTGTACAGAGACAGTCAGATGAACAGGGCAGCTGAGAAAGCGGGGCACTGAAGTGTGTGGGGTACCAGGCACGAGGGAGGCAAAAGATGGCGTTGTACCTTGGGCAGTGATGCGCGCGCACGAAAGTCAATAACCCTCTGACCTCCAGAAAGCCGGCTCATCTGTCTTCATCCACCCTACACTTCTTGCCCATGGGCAAGCGGCGAGAGAGCTCTGTGAGCCAGCCGGGTCCCTTTTGTAACGCCTGCGAGTCACAGAAAAAAGAATTTTTTTTTTTTTTTTTTTTTTTTTTTTTTACCCGCAGTGGTCTGTCCCATTGCCAGGGCGCCGGCGCTGCGCACCTTGGTCCCGCGGCAGCTGTCCGTGGTCCTGAACCCTCCTTTTGGCTTGGGCGGGCCTGGTGCCTGGGAAGCGCGTCCTGGCCAGGAAAAAAAAACTCTAAAGTCTGAGGGAGGGAGATGGCCCAAAGGCCTGAGACAGGGTGCGCGACGAACTCTCAGGCTGTCCACTGCAAAGACCTCTAGACTCTCCTAGCGACCACCAACCGCTGCAGGGACTTCATAGCACCCAGAGCTAAAGGACAGGTCATTCCGCCCCGGTACATCTCATCCCACTCCAACACCTTGTCTTTTGACTGTTTTCCCTGGAGACTGCAGCAAGTCATCCCCACAGCCTGGCGCTTCACGCCTCTCCTGCCCTCATCTGCAGAACGCCGCTTCTGGATTGCGTGATCTCGCAATCCTGACCGCCCCTCGCTTCTCTAGCCCAGGCTGTCAGCCCCTCCCCCGTTCCTGAGCCCATCCTCACTAGTTCTCTAATTTCAGAGTTGGGCGGTGCGAGCTCCGCCCCCGGTTTCCACACTAGGGAGAACTGGAGTGGTGGGCGGGGCGGAGGGGAGGGAGGGGCTACCAGTCCCCCTCAAAAGCTGCTACCGCTGGGAACCCCTGGATCGCTCAGCTCGAAGGAGAAGCGAGAAGCTCGGCTTACCGTCGTCGGGGAGGCTTGCTAAGGGACAGCAGGAATTCTGCCCCTCCCTTCCAGGAGCGCTTTCCCACCTGCCAAAACCCCTACACAGGTAGGACATCGCTCCTGGGTCTGGGCTGCATGGGGCGTGAGGTTTGTGCGCAGAGCAGTGGTGTTTAAATAACCTGTGCATGTTTAACCATGCTTCGGTTTATTTTTATGGGAGTGGAAGGACAGCACTTTTTATTGTTTTTGTTGTAGCCGTGTGGCCAGTTATTCCAGAGGGAAGACTTAGTGATGGGGTCTGCAGGGGTTGAGGAGGGTGTGGTTGGCTTAGAAATGATTGATGGAGAATGCGAAATGGCAGGTTCGATTGTCTTTGGACAGGTGGCATGGCCTCCCTGCCCACTCGAAACCCCGGGGACACTGACCTGTCTTCTGGGCTGCCGCCTGCGTCTGCAATTCCAGCCAACCAGAGCGCAGAGGCGTCCGCGGGCAACGAGTCGGCTGCGGGCTCGGGCGTCCAGGCCCTTACACCCTTCCAGAGCCTGCAGCTGGTGCATCAGCTGAAGGGACTGATCGTGCTGCTCTATAGCGTCGTGGTGGTCGTGGGGCTGGTGGGCAACTGCCTGCTGGTGTTGGTGATCGCGCGGGTGCGCCGGCTGCACAACGTGACCAACTTCCTCATCGGCAACCTGGCTTTGTCGGACGTGCTCATGTGCGCCGCCTGCGTGCCCCTCACACTGGCCTATGCCTTCGAGCCACGCGGCTGGGTGTTCGGCGGTGGCTTGTGCCACCTGGTCTTCTTCTTGCAACCGGTCACCGTCTACGTGTCGGTGTTCACGCTGACCACGATCGCCGTGGACCGCTACGTCGTGCTGGCGCACCCTCTGCGCCGCCGCATCTCGCTGCGCTCCAGCGCCTATGCTGTGCTGGCCATCTGGGCGCTGTCCGCGGTGCTGGCCCTGCCGGCCGCTTTGCACACCTACCACGTCGAACTCAAGCCACACGACGTGCGCCTCTGCGAGGAGTTCTGGGGTTCTCAGGAGCGCCAGCGCCAGCTCTATGCCTGGGGGCTGCTGCTCGGTACCTACCTTCTCCCTCTGCTGGTCATCCTCCTGTCATACGTCCGTGTGTCCGTGAAGCTCCGGAATAGAGTGGTCCCGGGCTGCGTGACCCGGAGCCAGGCGAACTGGGACCGCGCGCGGCGCCGCCGCACCTTCTGCTTGCTGGTGGTTGTCGTGGTGGTGTTTGCTGTCTGCTGGTTGCCGCTGCACATCTTCAACCTGCTTCGAGACCTCGACCCGCGCGCCATAGACTCCTACTCCTTCGGGCTGGTGCAGCTACTCTGCCACTGGCTCGCCATGAGTTCTGCCTGTTACAACCCCTTCATTTACGCCTGGCTGCATGACAGCTTCCGCGAGGAGCTGCGCAAATTGTTGCTCGCCTGGCCCCGGAAGATAGCGCCCCGCGGCCACAGCCTGACAGTCAGCGTGGTCATTTGATACCCGAGTGCCAGACCTCGGTTGAGAAGCCTCAAGACCTCTGGGCTCAGAGATTGGACTGGAGTCCGTAATCCCAGCTCCAGAGCTAAGACAACACAGGTCAAGGCTTCCAGCCCAGTTCTCTTGTCTCGCTGTCTCGTTCTTTTGTCTCTGTAAAATGTTTAATGGGCTTTGGTGAGGAGGAGGCCCAGAGAGGGAAGAGGACTTATGATGTCTTTTGCACGCCCTAGAAAGCCAATCAAAATCTTTCTCACGGTTCAGAAAAGTATTTGGTTCTGGTCTTTGCCAGCTTTTCCACTTGTTCAGTGGTAATGAAGAAACACTGGGGGTGAGATTTAAGATGTTGTTGGACTTGGTAATGATTTCCAATTTACCTTTTAAAAGGGGCCCAGCTGAGATCTAACCCCTGGTACTGTCTTGTCAGTCTGAACCCTTGAATCTTACAGATTGTGTCTAGGATTTCCACATCTTGTCAATGAGACTTTTATGCACCAAAAGTGTTTTGTTTTAGTGCAAGACTGCTTGAATTTATGGTACAAAACCACTTACAAATGGTCTTTCAAAAGGCTTTGCTTCTGTTTTCCCTCCTGTTTCTCCCCACTACCATTTTAATATGAGGAGATGAATTAGTCAATGAATAGAGAGCTAAAGAGGAGAAGACCCAGTTCACTCAAGGAGATGTGTAGCTGTGCATCAAGACAGACATACTGTGTGTGTGCGCACGTGTATGTGTGTGCATACAGCTAGTGTTTGCCACAAAGCAGCACTCATATGTTTGATTTTCTGAATGCTCAGTGTAAACTGTGTGTCAGAGCATTCACCTGCATCCTCTAATTGCTCAATTGTAACAAATCAACAGCTGTCATCTGACTGCTCAGCACCTGCTCCTTGGAGACATTCAGAAAATATTGATCCAGAATACAAGGACTAGTAGTTTACCTAAAGACAGTGTAGAAACATACAATGCCTCCCATAAGATTTTAGGTCCAACATTAATTGCTTTCAGGGTTAAAGAAACCAGTGAAGATTACTGGGCGGGACACCAGGCTGATCGTCATCACTTCAGCCTACTGAGAGTTTGGTTCACGAGGCCAAGAGCTCTGGGACAAGGGTCTCCACCATGAATTTGGAACAGCACCTGGAGCAGTCAGGGCAAGAGCCTTGGGGAAGTGCTGCACAATATCTAGCTGTCAGGTCAGCCCCTGTGGTATGTACGGCCAGAACTAGCATCTGCAGCAATATAGTCACCATCTGTAAGGTTCTAGTACTCCCCAGTTCATTAAATAGCAAAATCAGTATTCCCCCACCTTATTTCTATTCACTTAAGAAAGGAGTTCAGTGCTGGAGATACAGCAGCACATCACCTGCCTGACAAGCACAAACTCCTGAGTTCAATTCTTCGTATGAAAACAAACAAAAACAAACAAAGAAACAAAAAAGTTTCTTTCACCCATTAAAGTGCTCTGAAAAGCAAAGAAAAGGAATAGTACTGGAATGCAAGGATTAAATCCTGTTAAACCAGCGTCACCTATGATGGTGGAGCAAGTTTTCTTGATTGGCAACCATAAGAGTCTTTAGTGGTTACAGGGTAAGACATTTTGCAGAGCGGAGAACAGCACAAGGACTGGGAGAAAAGAAAAGGCAAATTAAGGTGGGAGATGGAAATAACTTCTGGCAGTGGCACTATGCTGATTTTGAACTTTATCCATGAATTGGAGAACAGAGAATTTTTATTCTAATAATGTAGCCTATCTCCACAGCATACTGTCACAGCATTAAGTCCACTGTCCTCATGTGAGTGCATTTCCTAGGTGTCCTGTGTTCCCAAAGCACCTGGACTTGATTGGAAAGTTTAGAGCTGGGGTCTTCTTTTGATGGGTACTTATGGAGAGTGTAGGAGATAGTGGGAAAGAATGGGATGAATGGGGAGAGATCTGGTTAATTTTGGTAACTTCGTTGCGAGGGTTAAGTCACTGGTTCTCAGTCTTGGCTATTCTTAGAATCACCAGGGAGCTTTATAAAAACACTGATTCACAGTCCTAATCCCAGAGATGACTTGAGACCTGGAATGACTTGGGTCCTGGGAATTCGCACTTTTTCAAAGCACTTCCACTGATTTGCATGCAAACTTACGTACCTTAAGAATTATCCCTTTTTAAATGCATCTGAAGAAAGCTTCAGTTGTATCTGCTAAATTGTTAAGATCTTGGATTTGAATTTGACACTGACTTTCATGTCAAACTTGGAGAATACTTTTTCACTGATCGGATGATACCTGCTAATGAGTAATCCTTCACATAAAGGGAAGTCCTTGTGATCAGAATATACAGGTAATCAAGTTTCCTCATATATTCCTCTTGCAGGGTACTACTGTATAAATCCGACTGGTTTAGAAGAAACATATTCATCTTTAGATTATAATATGAAGTTATATGCTATGAATGATTTCAAATCCTTGTAGTCAGAATGTTAAAAAATTAAAACCTTCCCTGGCCAGCTTGATTTAAATCCATATCAATTGTGAGAAGAAAGTATCTCCATGAATTAATTTCTGCCACCCACTTTCCTCATGTCTATACATCAGACATAAACATTTGTGTGGACTTTATGGAGAGCCTAAAAAAGAAGAGAGTTATGTTAGGCTTAGAAAGATCATTACAAATTATGAAAATTGGCAAATGAATAGCAACTAATTAATTGCTACCCCATTGACATCCATTTAGGACGAGTTTGTAAACCAAACGACTTGTTTTTTAAAAGTTTCTCAGAGAAGAGTCCCAGAGAAATCCTCAGAATATTATTTTTGGTAGGAAATTGTATTTCATAATTCGTTTTGGTGCCCATCGAGATGTGTGTTGAGCTCTGTTCCTGCAGGGATTCAGACAAGAGCAAAGCTGGGAACTGGGCCAGTTCTGGGACTTGGCAGCCGTCCTTCCCAAGGCTGACAGGGGATTCTGTAATCCTTTTTGCAAGCATCATCATCAGGTCTCACTTTTGGCAGCCTGTCAATAGACTTATCTCACTAAATCAGCAGAGAAGTGTTTCAGTATGTGTTGGCAACAGTTACCTGGAAAGAGCAACTGTGAGGGATGCTGAGGTAATAATCTTCTAATTGATGTAAACTTTTTGAGGTTTTGTTCTTTTGGATTTTCAGTCTTCTCTTATCTGTGGTAACATTTTTATTTTTATTTGCTCCAGTAGGTTAGTCAAACACCACTGTCTTTTTTTTTTTTTTTTTTTTTTTGCATTCCTGGATATCTAGTTTTTGTATTTATTTATTTATTTATTTTTGCCTTTTTCCTTTTTATTGGTACCAGGAATCGAACTCACGATTGCCTGCTTGCAAGGCAGGTGTTTATGCCGCTGAGCTAAATCCCCAGCCCTAGTTTTTGTTTTTAAATGCATGTAAGGAACTGATCTCAAGGAGATCCAGGCAAATTCAGCCCATCCTCCATGGAGGAGAGGTCGGGAGCACCTGTGTTTCCAAGGCAAGTCCTTGTCTGATTTATCTCCATGAATTCATGTCTTTGCTATGTGTGTAAGCTGCTAATATTGCCAAGACACTGTGTGAAGCTCCTTAGATTGGCATTTGAACTGTGTTGAATATATTGTGGGTGCTCAATAAATATTCACATACCTGAAGAATTTCCAGAGTGGAATTAATAAGCCAAACCAGTTGTACCCATGAGGTAAATAAGTTCAGGATCAAATTAAGGAGAAAAATCGTGCTAAGCAAACATGCTACTCAGTCTAGGTTTATCAAGTGTAACTAATAACAGAGACACACTGTTCATTTTGGGTCTTCTATGACCTTTGGTTCCCAACCTAGTAGTAACAGCATTTCAATATATGGCACCAAACTGTGTGCTCCCCAAAATGGCTTGTGTTGGGTCTATCAAAATGAAAGTGTAGGACTTTATGCTTAATTTTTATATTATCATGAATATGGGTAATCATTTTAGGATTAGCACTTCATCACTTATGACTTGGGAAATTCTAAAAACATTTCATATGTGGGTATATAAATACAGTCTAGAAGATTCCAAAACATTCATAATAGTCATAAAGGAGATTTTCTGGTACATACAGAGTATGATCAAACTACGTAGTGACTGTTTAAATTTTAAAAATGTATTTCAATAAAAGACATTGCTATTAATCTCTCTCAGAATACCCCTTTTCTCTTCAAATATACTAATATTTTCCTGTAATGAACTTAAAAAATATTTAAACATGAAACTGCAGTTTTTGACCATATCTAATATAAAGTACCACTTAAAATGGATTTATGGACACATTTTCAAGAGGCCTCTTTCACCTTCAACTTGAGATAAACTAGTATACAGATGTCGAAAAACATTTGAACTGGATGGAGTTACAATCGTGATTTATTAAAAGGTCAGACACTTCCAGTTAGAGTTTGAAAGCAGAGTTGTATTTTGACAGCCAGGTCTGAGTTCTTGCACCAGAGTTTTTAATCATTCTTCTCTGCTTTTCAGCTCAGTTCTTCTCGTTTCCCTCTCTGCCTCTGTTCCTCCTTTTCCTCTGCTGTCTCTCTATATTATCTATAAATCTCTCTTCCGCGGAGCCCCTTCTGTCCTAATGCAGAGGAAGTGATGGCGTATGAGACCGTCTCCTGGCTGGTGCTGGTAGAGGATGTGAGAGAGGGCCTGGCGTGTCCACCGCGGAGGTCCCGCTGTCTCAGCGTGCTGCGGGATGCCGCTCACTGTGTTTCTTGCCAAGTGTGGGATCTGAGACACACTAAAATTAGTAACTTCAGAGGCAAGCTCCAGGCTAAGGTGCACAACACAAGTTTGTCCAGAATCTCTGTAGGACCCTTACCTTGATAAATCTCACCAAGGTTCTCTTAGGAAGGTCCTCACAGTAAAAATATGTTTGCTTTTGATGTTTGGTACCTGTTGGTAGAATAAAGCAATTGGAGCCAGAAAAAGGAAACATCAAAGGATCTCTACTTTTAAGCATTCCCTGCCTTCCTCTATTCTCACAAAATTCTCTTCTTGCCTTGCTAATAACCAAATCCCCTAATCACAGACCCACCTCCTTCTGGAGTGAAATCTAATGAGGAATGGAGAGCTACAAGGTGCATTCAAAACATATGGTGAGTGTTTAATAAAAAAGTTGTAGTAAAACAGACATTGTCATTAATCTGCTTTGTAATATTCTTCCCCACCTTGCTTCAAACACATTCACCTCACTTTCTGAACCAATTCTAGGAGTCCTCTTTTGTGGCTTCATGAAATGTGATAAAAAAAAAAAAACAATACAGTGAATACTGCTGTTGTGTGCCATCCAATGGGAAGGCTGGCTCGTTAAAATACTGGGGAGTGGCGTCATCCACCTTATTCACCAGATCTGGCACTGAGTAACTTCTGGCTCTTCCCAAAGTCAAAGCAACCATGAAAAGCAAACATTTTGAATGGATCCAGGACATCAAGGCAGCCACCACAGTGCAACTAAAGGACACTGCACAACTGCTTCAAGAGGCTGTAAGAATTATGGGTTAAATGTGTTCAAAGAGAAGGGGAATATCTTGAGGTGGATTGATACCAATCTGTCTTTTATGCTAATAAATTTTAAACAACATAAACATTCATTATATTTTCTGATCACATCTTGTATGCTGCCACCACTCTCCTGGACCCACAGTTATCCCTAGGCAATTAAGAAAAAAATCTTGGTGATCTGGAGAATTAACAAAAAGGTTTCAGGTTTGAAATCTTCCCAGCCTAGAACACTGCAGTCACATTGGCTCTCCCCTAGTGGGCTGGCCAAGTCTCCTGGGTAAGAGGCACCGTGTGGTAGTATAACATGCCGATGGGTTTTCAGACATTTCTCCTGGTCTAATCACTGTGGGGTGTGCCCTGCCATCCTCCACCACTTCCTGACCCTCCAGTAGCCCCGTGTTTATGTTTGTGCATATCATCCTTTCTTGGGTCTCTGTATGAGTTCCTGCTGTCTGGCATTTCTGAGGGGCCGCATGCCTCTGTGGCTGACCTTGTAGACTAAAGTGCCAGACTTATGACAAGGTGCACCAATGTGGATGCCATAGTCACTGGCCCGTGGTTCCTGGAAGAGTGCAAGTGCACAAAGGCACAAGAGCTGCTGTGTCTTTATTGGATAATTCTTACACAGGGTGTTATCTCATATTTACATTCTCACCTAGTGCTGTAACCACTGTGTGTGTGTTTACCTGCGCTACGTCATGGTTACATAACTGTATCCTGCTGTGTGCTTGTGTTAGACTGCAGGGTCACGTTCTCAGGTGTCCTTAGATGCCTCTGAACTTTGAAGCAGAGTTAGTGGGTCCCCCCAGAGAGCTAAGGGAGTGAATTGTTTAAGGATAGACTCCAGGACCCAACTCTAGTCACAGGGAAAGAGTGAGATAGAAAGACAGAAAAAGGAAGATGAGACAGAACCATTGTCCTGCTCCAGGAAAAGGAGAACAAGGAGCTCGACTGGGCAGTTACACTGCACCAATAATTTGTTTGAAAAGTAATAGCTTGAAAAGTAATAGCACACCCAAACCAGAAGTCCTAAGAACCTTTATTTTTGGTTTAAAAGTCTGAAGATGGTAGGTTTTCCAGGTTGATCCAGTAGCTCAATAATGTCACTGGAGATTCATTTTGTCTTTTGCCTTCATCCATCAAGAATGGGTTTATTTTTATCCTCCTGCTTTGCCTTATGTCTTTGAAATGGTGACTGAGACTCCGGAAATTTATCCACAGCTATACGGTTTATGTCTAGGTGTCCCCCCAAAGCCTCATGCACTCACAGGTGGTTCTTTTGGGGAGTGACTGGATCCAGGTGTGTGATACTGGGTGTGATTACAGGTGAATGTGCATAATGAAAGCCCTATCCTGACTATGGGCGGCACCAATCAGTAGGCTTGTAGCCTGGATGGAATATAAAGGAGCAGGGAGAAGGCAGGCTTGTTTTTCCTCTGTCGTGCCCCTCTGCCATGCCACCCTGCCTTTTATTCAGCCAATTACAGATTTCTATAAACTGAGCCAAATGAACCTTTCCTCCTTTAACTTTGGGTGTTGGGTATGTTGTCTCAGGAATGAGGAAAATAAGCAGGCGGTGGGGAGGAGAAGCACTAGCAGTTCTCAATTCTGGAAAGCAGAGGTCTTTTCAGACATACTTATTTTTATCTCTTTGGCGAGGACTGGGTGACATATCCCTAACTGCAAGGGACGCAGAGAAAGAAATCCCTGTACTCTATTAAGCAGAAGGTTCACAATGGTGATTTAGTTATTTAGCCTCTGGTGACATATGTAGTCCATTGTCCAGGGGCAAGATCTCCTTCAGGTCTTATTCAATATCCAAGGGAGAAGTGAAGTGAAGGGAACCCGCATATTGCTTTCCAGAGTGCAGCTGGGGCCTCAGGCTGAGCGGCTGACTGCTGTGTGCACCCACGCTTTGGGAGTCCTCGCTGTCTCTCAGCAGACGGCTGCCAGAGAGTTGAAGTTAATTTCTTTTTTAAAAATGTCATGAGATATTCATAAAGCCAGAGACCCCAAGGCCATGAATATGGAAAAAAGCTGACATAAAGATATACCACGCTAAACTCTGTCTTAATTGCTCTAAGAATTTTTTCTTTTAATTATGTTAACTCTTTAAGATAAGGTCAAGAGAGAGAACCCAAGTTTTAGGCTTTGTTTCCAAACTCCTATGTGCAGAACCCTGACCGTTTTAAGGCAACTTTGCAAATGTGGGTTCCCTGCTCTGCCCTGTGGTTTGGGTCCCCCCACTCTTGGCTGCTTGGTCCCCATGTGGCCTCGCTTCCCTGGGTGCATGCTGGGTGCTTTGTTATTAAAGTGTCAGAACCTACAGCTTTCTGAGGAGAAGCCTCCAGAGCCAACCGTTAGCTCGTGGGGCCAGGCTGGCATCTCACCAGGCCCAGGATTCTGTGCCTGAAGGAACACATCGGTTGAGAGGCAGTGGTTGTTTCCTAAGAGAGAAAGAACCCTTAGGATACTTAGCTCACCTCCTCTGAGAAACTATGAGTGGCTCTGTCAGTCCTAATTAGATGTGGCACTTCTAGGACATTTTTTTTTAAAAAAATCATTACACCTGCTTCCTACTGCAGTGTGCTCTGTCGGGACTCCTCTTTCTTGGTTCTTTTCCTGGAAGGAGGAATCTCTTTCTTCAGGTCTCAGTTTGTCCATTAATCAGTCTTCTCTGATTGTCCCACTTAAAGTGGCCTAGCTCAGCCCCTGGGTTGCTGTCTTTCTGGCACTTACCATGCTGTGTCATGGTGAAATGTCTGTCCTTCACACAACGTGAGGCGCAGCAGGGCAGAGGGCATAGCTACCTTATCCCCCAAGGTGTCCCAAGGCTTGCACGGTGGCTGGCATTGTGCAGACATTTGTGTGGGGTGAATTACAGTGTCTGAGCCTCACCACAATGCTGGTGTCAACCCTATGCCGCAGTGGAGTGGAACAAAGGAAGTGACTTGATCCAGTTGCAAGGGCTGGAGTGGGGGAGCTGACCCTTCCACCCAGGGTGCCCATCCCTCACACCATGCTGCTGTTTATCTGCAAGACCAGGGCAGGTCCTCCCTCACCAGGCGTTCTCTGTGGCCAGCAAGGCTCTGCCAGGAGGCAGTAACATCTGAGCTTAGT